TATCTGTATATGTGTTCAATAAATCTGATGAACTCATACAATTTGCAGGATTTAACCACATTGCCTGAAGATGTTCAAATTTTGTGATTTCTATCTCCTGTAGTAAGTATTCTCTTATATCTGTATATGTGTTCAATAAATCTGATGAACTCATACAATTTGCAGGATTTAACCACATCGCCTGAAGATGTTCAAATTTTGTGATTTCTATCTCCTGTAGTAAGTATTCTCTTAGATGAAGAGAAAAACAAACACAAAACTGAACTACTGAAAAGCAACTGGAACCTGAAATGGAAAACAATGCATCCGTGTGCTCCCTTCCAACCACAGTCAAGAGGAAACCACACAGGGAATGCCTAGGATTTCTCACAGGAAGTCAAGTACAGCACACGGTACCGTCCCGTAAGTCCTCAAGCAATGCTCTTCAAAGCAAAGGAAGAATGTGTTAAAAATTTGATTTTATGTAACAATTTTCAAACAGTCCAAGTATAGGATAAGAAGTCTCTGGAAAATATAACATGACATTTTTTACCCTCCACAAGTGGAAAATCCTTTTTAGCTCCTTGTGAGTAGAATCCAAGAATAGGTAAGGTCTTGAAGGCCAATTCTTATCTATTGGAGATAAGGAAGGCATCTTACTTTTCATTTCCAACAAGTATTTTTGCACCTGTGTTGGGTTTGATAGAAAATACTAGATGAGAAAAATATATCAGAAAAGACATTGTTTTACATACACCAGGATCAAGCAAACCAGTCCTTAGTGGAATTTAAAAAGTTTTAGTCCATAAAACTCTGTAACTCCTCTAGGAAGTCTCTATTCCACTCATTCACACTGGTTGGGGAAACGTGAGCTCTACCAAATGGTTAATAAAGGAGAGTAGTAACAGTAATACTCACATTAACACTAATACCAGCTACCACTATAGAGCTGTACTGTCCAATAGGTAGCCACTAGTCACATGTGGTTATTTATATTTAAATTTTAAGTAATTAAAATTAAATAAAAAATCCAGTTCCTCAGGCACATTGGTTATGTTTCAAGTGTTCAATAACCACGTGTGGCTAATAGCTACTCCATTCTACCTCAAAGTTATAGAACATTTTCATCATTGCAGAAAGTCTTACTGGACAATGTCGCTCTGGAGTACTTAATACATGCTTAGCACGGTAAGAGCTCTGTATCATTACTCCATTTTAATCCTCACAACAACTCCATAAGGTTACTGCTATTACTCTCCCCATTTTACAGATGAAAATACGAGGCTCACAGAAGTTACATAACTTGCTGCAGTCGCACATCTTTGAGCACAGTGCAGGCTGACTTCAGAGCTTGCACTCTTTCCACCACTATGTATGTGTCTCTGACAGAGAGTGGGGAACTCCAGAATCCATCCTGGTAGACTTGTTTGCCAACCTTGTCCTGCCGCAGCTCACAGCAGTTTAATAGGACAAGAGCCTGCTTTCTTGGGTTCATTTTCCCCAAAGTTCTGTCAAATAAGACATTTTATTAATCATATATGAGCCACTAACTCTTTCTGACACAATTCTTCCTGAACTTGCGGGGAGGATGATTTTTAAAAACTGTCACAGTTATGATTTAGTCATCGAAAGTCACTATTTGTCAACTTTTAAGAGGTCACATTTTATTGAGCTGGTGCTATTAAGTAGTTAATCCAATAATGCTAATAAGCCATATACATAAAGTGCCAACTTACAATCCTCTGAAGTGTAAACTCATAGATTTTCTTTCCAGCATTGGCTCTGAAGAACTTCCTGTATTCCCTACGTACCTTTAGAAAAAAGCAGATTACAGTGATTAATGTGTGGCCGACATATGTCCATAATGATACACCTCTATTAAAAATGAAAATATGTAGAATAAGTAAATTTATGTGTCCCTTCTGGTTTTAGTAAAATAACTGAAGAACATTCAGACAGTGGATCTTAAGTCAGAGAAAAAGAAATTGAGAGATGAAAAACAATAGTACCAGAATAAATTGATGTTTTAAATCCTCTTAGTAGTTGTTTCAAAACCTGATGATTTGCTGAGAAACATCTTACAGGCATAGCTGCAAACTCATCAAAAAATAATTTTATTTCAGAAAGTATTATATATAGTAATTTTCCCTTCAAATAGTTCTTTAAAAGGCAAAAAAAATGTCTGATGAACTATATTGCAGTTTCCAAAAGCCCTGCATATGAAGACAGGTCTTTAGTACTGCACTCTGAGAACCAAATGTGGCTAAAAATAAGAATTTTAAAAGTAGCTTTTAAACTGCCATTATCTTCCATTCAATTGCATCAATTTTTCTCTCATCTCTACCACCACCATCAAACTCTATATTTAATGCTATCAGAACACTTAAGACACCATATTATAGTTTTAGTTCACACATTTTTTTCATTGCTACATTGTCATGTTTACTTCATATACTAATGTCTAACAAATAACAGTAAACAAATGAGGTGTTTGCTAATCAAATGAATGATATAGTTGAATTTTAAAATCAAGGGGGAAGTATTTAAAATACTTATTACTATCCAGATATAAATGGGAGAGTTAGAATTTAGCCAAATATTAGCCTATTTGATTAATTCAGACATTATGTGCCTTTTTCTTTTGCCACAGTTTTTTTAGTTTAACTGCACATGTTCAGAATATTTCTACATTAGGGGTTGTAAG